TCATACCCCAAGCCCAAGGCCCAACCTCAAGCCCAAGCCCCAATCTCAAGCCCAAGCCTCGACCTCAAGCCTAAGCCTCAACTTCAAGCCTAAGCCAAAATCTCAAGCACAAGCCTCAACCTCAATCTCAAGCCTCATCCTCAAGCCCAAGCCTCAATCTCAAGCCCAAGCCTCAACCTCAAGCCCAAGCCTCAACCTCAAGTCCAAGCCTCAACCTCAAGCCCAAGCCTCAACCTCAAGCCTAAGCCTCAACCTCAAGCCCAAGCCTCAACCTCAAACCTAAGCCAAAACCTCAAGCACAAGCCTCAACCTCAATCTCAAGCCTCAACCTCAAACCTCAACCTCAAGCCCAAGCCTCACCCTCAAGTCCAAGCCTCAACCTCAAGGGCAAGCCTCAACCTCAAGTCCAAACCTCAACCTCAAACCTAAGCCTCAACCTCAATCCGAAGACTCAACTTCAATACCTGTAACCAGACCCAAGTATCCATCTCAAGCGTCAAAGTCTCACGCTCCAAGTCTACATCCACGCCAAAGCCCCAAGGACATGTCAAACCTCAACGACAATCCTCAGGTCTAATCCCAAAGAATCACAAACCCAAGTCCAAACTAAAGGCTGAAGTTCATGCCAAAGCTTCAAGCCATACCCTCATGTCCTGTTTTCGAATTCAAGGCCAATGATAAATGTCCTTAGCCAAAAAGCGCCAACCTCTTGTCCCAAGAACCGAGACTCAAGCTAAAACACCAATCTCCAGCTCATAATACTCAATCCGCATGTCCCAAGTCCCATTTCTTTAATATTGGGATGCAAGGTTAGCGCAAGCTTAAAATTACATTCCTTAATGACCAAACTCCAAATCTTACCTCTCAGAAGCTTCAGTTATTCTCACTGAGGTTCACCGGAGTGACAATTCTATTCTCCTGTTATTGGCTTTGACAGAATTCGTAAGAATAGAACGTCTAAAAATAATGCAATAATATTGAACAAAGCCATCTCATTAAAACCCGGTATATAGCAACCAAAATCTATTGCATTGTAAAAGAAATTGGTCATCATAAACATTCACATCCTACCCGTACTTACAATATACTTTAATTACAATTTCCTGGAAGTTCATCAATTAGAAGAATATGACGCTATTGATATGAGAGATATAATCGCCAGGAAATAAATTAACCTCTTCCCGTGCAGTTTGCACTCGTCTGGAATTAACTAAGTTATAGTTTTTAAAAGCGAGAAATAGCAGCAATTAGCGGGAATCACATGCTGAATACAAAAGTTCTTAGTTGCACCCGAATTACAGGGCACGTCTAGGTAACTATTGTGTTATCTATTTTTTAGAAGGAAATCGTCGTTTCTGGGTTATAATTGAGCTTTAGTACGTGTTTTATATATTCGTGTTCGCCATCAGACATTGCAGACAGTGCTGTATGGTACGGATAAGTCTGTACGTATTTACAGAATAGCAGTACCTATCCGTTAAACCCTTTATGTTAAGCATAATGCACCAAGAGTGTGTTTCGAGTGAAGGGGAATCGCCTGATTGCATTCGCGATAAGGTTTCCCTCACATCTGCTTCCCGGTCAATTCCCTTTCACTTTTGGCTACCTCAGAAGGCAGAGCCCGATGACATCACGTACGGTGTTTTGGGACTGGGAATGAGGAAACTATTTACTTAAGTTTCCGTTCATGGGTTTTGCAAGTAGCACCTGTCGAGAGAAAACCTTGATCACACGTGAACGAGACAGAATCTTCGGAACTGTATAATCTAAAATTTAATTCTTTTAAGGATATGCCATGGCCCTCGTTTTCCTCTTCCTCGAAGCAACAAACGGTACACATAGAAATCATTATATTCAGCTGAATTTCAAAATAACAAACTATCCTTCTTCTGTCCGACCGTCACAACACGTGTTACAAAAGCGACAACGTTAAAAGGAGCATTTGTTCATTTTCTCTTTCATGTTCTTCAAATGTGAAATTGAATCTTGGAAGTACGGTTATCTGGGTGAGTCTTTGCTTGTACTAACGAGGAAAACCGAACGATATGCAATCGGACTAAGCATTTTTGGAGAAATTCCTAAATGGGGTTAGGAAAAGTTGACTGCAGGATGAAATCAGGCTTGAGACTCACGTAAAAGGCTTAAGAAAAGTGTATAGCGAGAAGCAATCGAGCTATGCATTTTTTGAGAAGTAGGTAAATGCTTAGGACCGTAGGATCGTAAGTTGACCGTAGGATGCAACGGGCTAAGCCTTTTTGGAGACGTTGATGAAAGACCGAGGCAAAGTAGACGGCGGGGTGCGGTCGGATTGCGCCCAAGTGAAGAGTGCGTGGGCGTGCGTAGGAGGGCAGGGCGGTGGCGAGGGCGGCGGCGGCGGCCGCCTCGGCGCCTACTACCCGCGCTTCGCCGGCGGCGCGCCCAACTGGTCGTTCGTGTTCGACCCCGCGGGCCGCCTCTGCTACTACTGGTCCATGGTGGTGTCACTCGCCTTCCTCTACAACTTCTGGGTCATCATCTACCGCTTCGCCTTCCAGGAGATAAACGGTGAGTGCGGCTGCCGTCGCCCCCTCGGGAGCACGAGAGTTTGGCGAAGGATTACAGCAATTTTCCCAAGGCAAGCACCTGTGGGAAGAATGTTTTTTTGAAATTTAAAATTTAAATCATTTACGTAGAATATGTTTTATTTTTTATTTTTATACTGAAATTTCATATGTATTATTAATGTCGGGTCTCAATCTTATCTTACATTTTGACTTTATTTTATATATATTGAATTGAATTGAAATGAGGTCTTCTTTTGCGTGGCGAGACTCGGGTCATTAGGGCCGCTCTTCCGTCTGACCACGCAAATTTCGCTCTCTCCTGCCACCCACTAAGCGCAAGAAGGAGATATCACTCGGGCGACGAAACAGGGGATTTGAATTTTGCTCAGAGGCTTCGTTTAGGCTTGAGGATCTTTTACTTGCAAGTAAATCTACTAACATAGGACAGCCGGCTTTACCTCCCCTCGGAAGGAAGGCGTACGAAGGATTTTTTCGCCCTTAAAAATCCACGGCTTCGATCGGACGGGGCATATGAGTCCGACACGCTAACCGGTACACCATCGTCGCAGGAACGAATATGTCTACCAGATGTTACTCTACAAACATATACGCTTACTTTTGAGATAATTTTACACGGAATTCGAGAGCGCTGATATGATACACTTCTTAGGTTACAATCGTTTCGTCGTCGCCGTCGTCTTACCCTACAAAGGAAGATGCAGTATTTATATTTTCTGTTCGTCCTTGTGTTTTTTTCTTGGGGGTGACCTGCTACGAGTTACAATCTTCTAACTTGAATCCAACAACTCAGCTGCAAATGAAGTAAACACAGCGAGCAATAAGGGTTGGGTCAACAAAGCTGGCATCTCTTTAACGTCCCAATGTAAACGACATAAAATGAGTAAAGCCCGTCGCAGGGTACAGCCCAGCCTCTCTCCGAGTTGCTCCGTCGAAATGAGTCGTCTGTCGAAAACCCTGCTTTTCCAGTGCGGCTAAAACATAAGCCAGGGTTCTTTTATTGCTTACCTTGCACAAATAAATGTTTTTAATTGTTTAATAGAATAAAACAGGAAACGTGCAGGAACTGAAATCAATGAGAGCAACAGGAAGCTTATTAAAATATTACTGACCATTAATTAGGCTGCAAATTATAAATATTAAATCTACTGGCTCAATGTTTAATTATAAAGGCTGGCAAAAACTTAACTGGACACTGATGTAAACAATATTAAATTTATGTTTTATTTCAAATACAAACAACACTTACAATTACTTTTTATGTTAAATGTGTTTTCCGTCTTCATTAATACATCTTTCAAGTATTTCTGAAACTGTTGCATATTCTGTGGCATAGTTTGGTATCACTGTCCAAATCATGAAAAGCGTCGTGTATTGTAGTTCAGCAATAATCCGAGGTTGTTGACAATGAACTTGGTCCTTGCCGACACCCCACGCAAAATTAACCACGGGCGCGATATTTCTTGAACGTTAAGGCATGTCTACTCTTCAATCCATCACTTTTCTTTGGAAACTTTCGTTTAAATCGGAAATCTTTTCTTCTTAACATCATGACAAATATTTAACAAAAAAACGAATTCGGAAGCTACAGTTTTAAACACGTCTCACAGATCACTTTTTCAACCGCTCGCTAGTTCTATTATTGTGTTTGTCATTGTCTTGTATGCCGACTTGACAAGGAGTATTTATCATTTTGTAATAACAACCTCACGGGCTAACACTAGTGCACTAAGTCTTGCCGTAGCTTATTTTGTTTCCTTTTAATCAACTGTCCAGTGACTTTTCGTCATCCTGTATTTTTTTGTTCTCTGACATGTCCGTTTTCTTAAATCTTAATAACAAAAATTAAGTATCATCAGCAATCAATTCATTTTGTATATTATTATTCTAAGATTCTCCTATAAGTAATTTATTATTATGTATTATATACTGTAAGATTAATGTACTTAATAGTAGGCATTAATGCATTAGTGTCTTAAAATGCACTAATGCATTCATGCATTTATAAGGTGAGCTATATGCCCACAAAATTAATTTGGCAGTTAATAGGCCAAATATAAATGTAAATTATTTAGGAATTTGTAGATTGCTCTCCTCTGCTGTATGAGCACCGTATGAAACAAACATCGAAGGAAGAAACCCACCGTGATTATATTTCAAAAATGTAATCCAAATATCCTTCTTAGCTGTTAATACAATTATATTTTGTTGTCGACTGCAAGACTTGTCTTACTAATGTTTTCAAAACATCAGCTTTTGCAAATCTGTACAATTTGTTTCAGAAGAGGAAAAGTATCTCCGTAGCAATCTTAAAATTAAATCATTCTTGTGCTTGACCTTTGAGAGTTTTGTGGTGATGCCTTCACTGAATCCCAGTGAAAAGCAGTAGCAGCAGCTTCTACTATTTTGAGGTTTGAATCTGAGTGAATAAATGAATGGAATAGTACGAAATTCGTTTTGCGGTGAAACGTGGGGGCCTAGCAGTGAGCGTATGTAAAGGTAGTAATGCGTGATATCTCTGCCTCTTTAGTACCAAAAAATTAATTCGGTGCATCATATTGCTCATTGATAGAATATATAATTGTAACATATTCCTTTGATATTGAAGGGTTATAAATTGATAATAAGCTGCAATGCTGGAAGAACTCGTAAAATGAAGTTTTGATTCAAACATGTTAAAATAAATGTAGAAATGTATGTGTTACACGCGTATTGATTGATGGATTATGGAGTAAGCATTACTAGAAGGCCTAAAAGAAGATCTGTTAATAATAACTATTACGAAATGTTCTAAAATAGTGGTATTACCTCAGAATTAGATATTTTAGGTATGTAAAGGTTGAACCCCATTAATGATACACTGGATGCTTCAGAATACATTTTATTAACTTCTAGGACGTGAAGAGGGGTCGAAGATAATGGATGCAATAATGTTAGCAAATACACGAATTTTCTTTCATTGTGCCAAACTCGTACCTACTTAATGCAGAATGAGTCGCCTATCAATCACGAATTCATGTCACATGTGTAACCTTGCTATATAAAATTTTACAACACATTAATTGGCAAAAATTTATAATCTTGACCACTCTTCATGCCCTAGAAGTTTGAAACATTTACAGTGACCCATCACTCAGACATCGGTCTCACTACAGACATCCTCATTCTAGATAATGTAGCGGTTGTGGGTTTGACGGCCATTTTGTCGTCCGCAGGTGAGACGTTAGTGGTGTGGTTCTGCCTGGATTACTTGGCCGACTTCCTGTACTTGGCCGACATCGTCTTCCACTTTCGCACGGGGTACCTCGAGGACGGCGTTCTGCAGACGGACGCCACCAAACTGCGCCAGCACTACATGAACTCGACCACGTTCTACATCGACTGCCTCTGCCTGCTGCCGCTAGACTTCCTCTACCTCTCCATCGGCTACAACTCCATGCTGCGCTCCTTCCGCCTCGTCAAGATCTACCGCTTCTGGGCGTTCATGGACCGCACGGAGCGACACACCAACTACCCCAACCTCTTCCGCTCCACGTCGCTCATCCACTACTTGCTGGTAGGCTACTCGCTGAGAAACCACCTCTAGATCCCACTCTCCCTAACCATGGCCGGATTTAGATACTGCGGACTCATGGTCAGGTCCATCACCGGAAAAGTATTCTACAGATTTAATAAAACAACTAATAACTTTTTGTACAACTATAAATAAAAATTAACAATATTTTTGTGGCATTGAGCATAATGTTTTAAGTTCATTATTTATTATTATTATTAATAATTATTTTACATTAATATTACAAATAACTTCACAGATATAAACGTATCTTACTAGATTTCTTTCGAATATTTAACGAACTTTATTCGGAGCGCGGGGCTCTCTATGGATAGGGGGCTGCTTAATTTGCTTGTAGATAAATCCGGCCCTGACCCTAACCTGTAAGTCGCTTATTCTAAGATATAAGCAGGTTATGCAAATAAGCGTAAAATGTAATGTATTTCTACGGCGGAAGCTATTACTTATAGAATAAATTGGATGGAACATAATGACAAATTCGTACTGATGTATTCAGTTTATTAACTGCGTTTATTAACTGGTTGCCTATTCAGGTCATTAATTGCTGGTAACACATCAGCGCGACTATTGTTAATTATTTAAAGAATTAATAGACTGAAATTTCACAATTATAAGTCAAATATTTTGCCAATAATTTGTTGCACTACAACATATTTTTATAATCACAAAATTGTGTTTTGTTAAAGAAGATCATATTACATTTTCTATTCTTTAAATGTATAGACTGATACTGCTCTATTCGATACCGATTCCGAACTTTGAATTTGTCTCTAGTTTTAATACATTGATGGTTTTCGAAAATAAGTAATTTTTTTAAAGCATCCTTACCAGAACTACTAAAACATATTTACACTGTTAAGTCGTAAGTCGTAAGAGTTAAGAAAGGCAAATACACAAATACGAATACGTATGCGTTCATTTATTTATACGTTTTGCAAGCACTTGTGTTAATTTGGAAAGTACGAGTAGTACATTATGATTACACTAGAAAATAATGTGTAATGATTACACATAGCACAACTTGGGGATGGCTTTTACGATCTGCAGGTATTCAGTCATTAGCTAATGGTATGCTTCCTCAATTACTTGTTAGTCTCGCTGGAACTGAGCTTTCGTGAAAATGAACAATTACAAAACCTGATGTTTATCATCCACGAAATGCGTACCCACCATGTAGCTTCGTTTGCATGATTTCCTTAAGCGCTCCTGGAACCTGATGGAAACAGGAAATTTCAAACACATGATGAAAGTGCATCAAACTGCACATGGGCGCCTCAGAATAAATCGTGGGCCATCTCACGAAAGGCCATATCTCAGTTTTAATGTCACTCACAAAATGCTAAAGGAATTGGATAGTGGTAACACCTTTGTAATACTGGATTTTGTAATATTATTTTTGTAATGGTAATTTTTTAATATTTGAAAACAAAGTTGTTTCTAGCATCCAGCTTCTTTAGGATTTTGTGAGTAACATTAAAAGTGCAATATGACTATTCTTGAGATGGCCGACAAAATGTTAAAAACATCTAGAGAATGTAAGTGCCTTCTTGTGCATGATGTCTAAGATGATTACTTTTTGTCAATAAGCATGTGGTAAACATTCAAGTAACGAAATTACATATGCGGCCATATCATTGTATTATTTCATGCACTGGTATCCTGTTGGTCGTGTTCTCGTGCAAATACTGTTCGAGCATCTGCCGAATATCTGTGCGAGACGAGATGCCCAAGTGGGCAAGAAAAGCAAATGTTACATGTGTAATTTAGTTGAAAAAATGTTCTTAGTTGAAAAAAATTACAATCTGTATGCGAAGCTTTAAAACAGGCATTCCGAACAAATTTCTTTTAAAGACCCCTTTTAAAAGAATGGTTAGCTTCATTGCCCCCACTTCGTTTTATCTCTACAATTTACAGCACCCGTCACAACACCAATAATGATACATACATGACTTAGTACAAGTACATTGACATTGTACAAGTATTATAAACAAAGTTTTGGAAAAATATTGTTTTATTATTTTTTGTACAGTTGTAATTTACAGCTTTACATATATCAGAAAGGTTACAGAAACAACATTATAGAGTCTAATTACACAAACGTTCGATTTTCATTCATGTGATATTAATTTCTTAAAAAAGGATAGAATGTGTCATTTAATATCAAAAGAAAACAATACAAATAAATAATAAATGTTAAAAAATCACCAATAACAGTTTTTTTGCGATTAATAGAATCGTAATTATTCCGATCAGTTATAGGCGCGTACTCGAATCTCGATCCTAAATCGGCAGCTTGATCATTATTGACCGCCTTTGAAATATGATTTGGGTACCTCTGCCCTACACGTTTGAACACTCATTCTGAAACATATTCACTCACACGCTTCGCAAAAGGCGATATTCGAGCCAGGAATGAGGAGGAACCGTCTGTGTGTGCGGGCAGGTGATCTTCCACTGGAACGGCTGCCTGTACCACATCATCCACAAGAACGACGGCTTCGGTTCGCGCAACTGGGTGTTCCCGGACGGCGGGGAGGCGGCGGCGCCCGACGTGGTGCGCCAGTACCTGCAGAGCTACTACTGGTGCACGCTGGCGCTCACCACCATCGGCGACCTGCCGCGGCCGCGCTCCAAGGGCGAATACCTCTTCGTCATCCTGCAGCTGCTCTTCGGCCTGCTGCTGTTCGCCACGGTGCTGGGCCACGTGGCCAACATCGTCACCAGCGTCAGCGCCGCGCGCAAGGAGTTCCAAGGTGCGCGCGCGTGCTCAGCGGGCATCACACGGACCGGCGGTGCACGGGAAAAGGAACGCTTCTCAAAAAGCGTAGACATAGACCATTTGGGATCAAAGTTCATCCCAAGACCTTCGCAACCCTACCTAAACTCAAAATTTCTGAGTGGTATTTGGGACCCTTTGGTTAAGGTGTTTTAAACATGATACCCTTTGGCAAACACTAGCAAACATATTCTTTGGCTTACGCCTAAGTCATCTTTTTCTACACTGTTTCGACTTCAATTCGTCTCATCAGCTGGGGAAGTGTTGAGATCAGCGACATGGCTGACCGCATACCCAAGGACAGTAGTGGGGAGATTCTGGAAACTTTTAGGATCAAAGTTTGTACTCCACGAAGCAAACGCCTTTGCATTTTGGCTCACGCCATTTGGCTTTTGGCTGCAACGTACACATGGACCGTCGGTGCACGAGAAAAATGACATCTCAAAGTCATCATAAACAATGGCAAAATGTCGTTTCGAGTCGAGAAAAGAGACGTGATTAGAAACTAGTAAACGTTTACTAATAAAATGTTTTTCAAGATAGTTCGCAAGGTAGCCGGTATCTACATACCATAGAAATCGGGTAACCAGTGAGTATGCGTCCGGCATTCCAGTCCACCATTTGGGCAAGCAAGGTGTCATTCGACTCGATTAGATTCACTGGAGGGAAACTGACCCCTTCATTCGTATCCTAACCTAATGAAAAAAGCTTGAAATTCATAAAAATGAATTTAGTTTTAAAGCGTTGGAGACGCCACGCTGTCATTATCGAACGAGTCATATACTCGTTCTGCAAAATGAAAATTTTGAGATGAGTTCCTTTCATTACTTCTAGGCTGTCCGGGTGACGCCGCGTCGTTGGCAGATAGGCCAAAACCGCGGCGTCACCCGGACAGCCTAGAAGTAATGGACTCGAGCCGCGGAAGCCTACGTGTACGAGTCATGTCCACAAAGAAATGAAAGGTCATGTCCACAAAGAAATGATGAGTGTAATAAGAGTACTCGGATTACGTGTAATGGTGGGAGATGCGGCTTAGTCATGTATTTCCACACCCAACTGAACACTTTGGTGGTTTGTCGCTGTTTTTCGCTGAATTGATAACGGTAGGAACGATCGTCAAGAAGAGAATTATGGGATATGAATGATTGCAGATTGGATGATGGTCCATTTGTGATATGCGGTGGTGCGAGAAACTAACCTTGGCAGAACCTTCTTGGTGAAAACGCCTATGCCTTTCGGGACTCGAACCAATAGCCTTTAGCTCCGTATTTGGAAGCTGCTCCAAATCCCTATGCCATGAGGCAGCCCTTCATAAAAAGAAAGATTAAAGTAGTAATGAACCGTTTTGAAATGCACAAATATTGACAGAAAAGTTGTCTTTAAAGCATGGGCTGTAAAATTAATGAATTTGTAAATTATACTTTGATAATGAAATTAAATACCATTTCTAAGTCTTAAACTCTCTCTATCTGCACATTTTAGTAAATTGCAAATTATTTTATTGGTGGTCTCGAATGTTCTTGGCAAGGCCCTTTTCGTGTTATGTAATTGGGTAGCTTTACCTTGAGGCGTTTTAATGTCTTCAAAAATCAGTTGGAGTTAAAACTCGGGTTAAACCTCTTGGGTCAACCTGTCGCCATTGCAATATATCGTATCCATCAATCGAAACCAGACAGAATATCCTACGATGGTTGTAAACGACCTCGCTTCTCAAAAAATACTAATTTTTGTTTTCATCTTCATGAGACTTTTTTCTTGTGTTGGTTAAGAAATAGTGAAATATTAATTGCTGTTTTTATCAGGCAGGTTTTTGAAAATTAGATCTTTTAATATTACATAGAAGATCTGAACAATGGACTATAACTAAATATCTTTCAAATCTTCCATTCTTTTGGAAATAAAATGTCACTTCTTATTTTTTATTGTTTTTAGATGAGACATGTATTCACAATTTCATTTACATATGCATAAAATCTATGTTATTACGCCCACTTCTGTGTGATGTTTGATAATGCGATGGTTTTTCAATCAACGTTATTTCAAGAGATGTAGGACAGATTCTGTTTCAATGTACTAAGAAAACAAGTTTCAGTATATAATGAAGGGAAGGCCTTTTATGCTGAAGTTTACGTACTCAATATTTTCAAACTGCGCGGTGTCCATTCACTTGTTGCAGCTAAGCTCGACGGCGTCAAAACGTATATGCGCATGCGTCGGGTGCCAGCCGAGCTACAACTGAAGGTCATCAAATGGTTCGACTACCTGTGGCTCACGCAGAAGTGCTCCGACGAGGAGAAGGCTGTTTCCTGCTTGCCTGGTGAGTTACCATCTGATCTATTATGTTTGATTTACCTTTTATTCTACGATAATAGAGTTGCTAATGAGTTGTCGAATTAGACGTTTTGTTTGGCAAACCTAGTTATAAACTTCCCGAAGTTTGAATAACCCATTTCACTGTCTTTGCAGTGTATATATACACAACTTTCACTGTCTATGAAGTTATATATATATATATATATATATATATATATATATATATATATATATATATATATAACATGAAATACTTGTTAAGTACTATAAGTGACTCTCTAAAGTAGTTTATTGGTACAGCAGACAAAATCAATGATTTGAACATTTTAAATGAGCGAGACATGTTACTTTCCCACTTGTCTCATTGCATCATTCCATTTATGTTAATAAACAAAAAAAGACATTGCAGAATTAGGAGACGAATATCAGTTCCAAGTGATGGGAGCTAATACATACAATATAGAAAATATTCCTGGAAGAAAATAGAAAAAAATGGTCAGCTCTTCGGGTAGTTGTAGTAGTTACTGTTGCATGTGTGTACTTGGCGCGGCAGCCCGTGAACGGGCTCACGCCTACCAGCGACGTCCCTGCCTCGCGGCCAGGGGTTAAGAGGGTAGCTGTGGTCAGCACGTAGACATCCCCACGCCGTATTCCAGTCTTATCGATCTGAGAAGTGAATTTTCTCATCTTCACACAGTAACATATACTGGGACATTGCAAAGAAAACGCACACTGTTGTCTTGGCTCGACCGGGAATCAAACCCTGGGTCGCGTAGCGGAGAGCGAGTACGCTGACCAAGAGCCAGCTACTGTTGACTTCGTGTAATCAGTGCGTATTACTGTGTGTATGATGTTGCCGTTGGCGTGTCCGCAGAGAAACTGAAGGTGGAGATCGCCATCTGGGACATTGCATATATACTGGGACATTCCAAGGAAAACGCACACTCCAGCCTTGGCTCGAGTGGAAAGCGAGCACGCTGCCCAAGCGCTAGCTACTGTTGACTTCGTGAAATTATGTATGTGATGTGTCCGCTGGTGTGTCCGCAGATAAGCTGAAGGCGGAGATAGCCATCAACGTGCACCTGGACACGCTGAAGCGCGTGGAGATCTTCCAGAACACGGAGGCCGGCTTCCTGTGCGAGCTGGTGCTGCGGCTGCGGCCGGTGCTCTTCTCGCCCGGCGACTACATCTGCAGGAAGGGTGCGCTCGCGGCCTTCGCTCGCTCTCTAGCAAGGTGTCGGGGGAAGGCGGCGCTAAGCTTCATTCCCCCGTACATCAAAAATAAAAGATTAGAATGGCTCATAAAACAAATAGTGGGATAGAAAATACGTGCAAAGGTTTTGCCATGCAGACCTGCAGTATGTGTGTTAAAAGCAGTAAAAATGTATACATAAACTAATGCACTTCTGAATTTAAAAAAAAACGAAATTTGTCTTTGTCTGAAAAACTTAACACACATGTGGATTATCACTATCTACCCCCGACCCCTTCATTTGTTACTTGGTGTATACGTTGTTTTCTTTAGCTAATACTTTCACATCATGTATTTTTTAGTAATAAGAAATCTTTGCAAAACACACGTTATTCTTGCATATGCGAACATATTTTGAAGGAATCATATATCATTAGCATTCCGTGACAACGGATAAAATATATACCAATTGCTTTAAGTTGCGTAAGGGAATGAGGTAGTCAAAAATACTACCTACTTAGGTATCACACACAATGTTAAAAATATTGAGCTCTACATTGTTTTTCTGTTGGAATCCGGATATATGTGTGACTCATGAAAATGACCGTGTGATGACGAACTGAATGACATGCGCGTTGTCACATAATACATTTGGAAACTAGTGGTGGTAGAGATTGGCACTGACTTTCTCGTATTACTTTTCTATTTTCTTTGGTCTGAGCTAGCTGTTGAGACTTCCCACATACTCTTGCCAGCTGCCTTCAATCGCCGCCGAAAGTACATTGTTTTAAACTTATCTCAATTTTTAGATTTTGTAATAGAAGAACCGAAATATTAAGTCTCGTAACTCGTCGTAAATGGAAATTTTCGTTGAAAAATTGAAGTCGTTTTTCAGAAAGTGGCATTTAAGCGTTACTATAAATGCAAAATTTGAAACTCTTTCCAAAGGAATTTTTTGAGATTTCGAAAACATTTATTTGAAGTCATTTGAAGTACTTCTACTCAACACTACAAACGCAATAGTGTTCAAAAAATTTCTGGAAATGTGCATATTAATGGCGTGAGAGATATCTTAAAAAATTATATTTGTAGAATTTTTGAAAAAACAAATTTCATCTGAAGCAAAGTATCTCTATCTTTAACTTTGCAGTTGTAGAACGCCATCGAAAAATTTTCAATCTTTTGCAACTTCCAAAAATTCAGAGTAAACCGTGAAAATCGGAGCTATGTCATTTTTATAAGTATATTTATACTACTCTTTCAAAAAGTTGAAAGAAAAAAATTTGATCAATTTTTGAGAAAATTTTGAAAATGTTCCTGGCTCTTCATGTACAGTAGCCCCAATTTTTTGAAGAAAGTTTTTCAAAATCCGTGCGCTTAGGATCGAACCAGACTGATCGGCGAATATCCTTTTTCGAAAAAATTATACATACGATTTATGCGCTAGTTGTGCTGACAGACGAATGCAGAGACAGGACGGAGGTTTTGAAGAAAAACACTTTTTCGTTAACACTGAACCACAAAACGTGTGTTTCTATAAAAATCTCGAAATCGATTTTCAGCAGCATTACCTAACTGTGTTTATACTACGTATATTATGTATATACATACGGATACGAAAAAGTAAAACGTAAACTCTAATCTCTTATCAGTTCCAAGAACATAAGCAGTTCTACATTGGACATTTAATAAGTTGGTCAAAACATTTACCCAAAATATCGCAGTGCACAAGAAAATTTAAACATCTACATCTAAATAATTGCCATTTTCCATGTTTTTAATCTAAGTAGATTTTCTATTTCACCATTTTCGACCAAAGACATGTTATCATTTCTCAACATTATCTTCATTTAGCTTAAAATGACATTTTAGAATTCTCACCTTTCTTGTGTACAGACGATTTGTCAATTTTAGTTTTTTACTCGACGTTTTGCTTTACGATGTCTATTGTGGTTTACACATATTGTCAGAACTCAAACCTATTCTTCAAAGGACATATTGAGATGTTTATTCTAAAGATAGCAAAATATTCAAATGTTAGAAAAGTACACTTACAAATCCCTACGATTTCCATTTCTCCCTCCCAACTCAGCGCAAATTGCTTTACGACAACATTGATAGCTTCCTGCTCCACAGTGACACATCCATTGCGGCCGCGTGGGAGGCCACTGCACCCAGTTACGTCTTGGCGATCGAGGGGGAGATTCGTTATTCCAATGCGCGAATATACGAACGTGAAGAAAATTACTGCCAATTAATCTTATTATCTTTAATCTTATCCCAGGTTGTTTCAGTTATCCTTTTAATTAGTTCATTCTTCTTCGTGACCCCAACTACTTGTTTTATGTATGTTCTGTTATATTATTAAGAAAATTCATAACGAAGATAATTATTGTATTGAATTTTTAATTTGTATAATTGATCAAAAAATTTTTGTAAATAAAATGATGTATGCATGGTCCTGAGAAATGCTCCTGCATAGGTAGAGGACAATTTGTATTCGCAAAAAACATTAAAATATAAAATTGACGCCGGTCGCAAAGTCACTGGTCGCCAACCCAGATCTGGCCCATTTATCCATAAGACAGTGGCTACATAGCTAGGTCGAATTCAACTGCTGTCTCGAAGAGAATTCTAGCGTCCGGCTGCTCTGATCACTAGTTTTCCGTGCGCGATCTCACCTTTCTCATCCTTGTCCTATCCTCTGCCTTATACACACACAGTAACATACAATACACACATGCCGGAAAGCAGGGAGGAGTTTGTAACGTGTACTGGCAGGAGCAGTGCCTTGCTGGAGGGAGATATGTGGTCGGGGAAAACCTGCTAGCCGTCATGTAGGTCGGCGCCGGATCTCGCCATCCAATGGGAAAAATCATCGCCATCTCCCGAGGGAAAATGCATTACACTTACGGGATTAATGCCCTAAGCCGTTGAGGCACGACATAATCAGTCGATCTGATGGTCCACTGATATGGGGTTGTGATTGTGCGCAGGAGAAGTGGGCAAGGAGATGTACATCGTGAACCGCGGGCGGCTGCAGGTGGTGGCCGACAACGGAAAGACAGTGCTGGCCACGCTCAAGGCGGGCTCCTACTTCGGGGAGATCTCCATCCTCAACATGGGCACCGCAGGTAAAGCGCTCGGTAAATATCACGGCTCAGCCTCTGACCCGTTTCCTTTCTACTCAGCCTCTCTCTTTTCTCTTTCTCTATCTCTCTCTCTCCCCAGCTCTTCCGTTGCGCCCCTCCATCTCTTTTGGCTCTCCAGTGCTTTGCGCCGCTTTCGTGGAATGCACAAGTAGAGTAGGATGTTGTTGTTCGAAATTAAGAGTGCATGTCGCAGACACAAGCATGACTTGCTTTCTCAGTTTTGCAAATTATGTAGAGCATTGTACAGAACGCCTCAATAAATGTTACAAACTTCTAGATAATGTAAGGGGTTGACGATGATTACGTTTTGTCACCTGAAATGTGAGAAATCTCAGAAAATGGAATTATATATGTGCCATTTCACTCTGATAGGTAGGCAACTCATCTTGCTCTGCTAATGGTAGGTGCATGAAAATTCTTTGATGAGCAGGTGAATCTGTCAAACAGCAGTGCAGTATTAATTGCCTACAAATATAGTTCACATTACACACATAAAACTGCGTTTTGGAAACGCATGTTCATTAGCAAAACGTTATCTTTTCAACTCTCCTATATGCCTTAGAAGGCTGTAATATTTATTCTGAGACACTCTGTAGTGCATGCAATATATTACAAATAATGCGAATTATATAAACTCCGAAAACAAAAGCTAAATATTAATACCAAATTAACAATTACCTATCCATAATAAATTTTCGCTCATTGATGCAAAACGCAACAAGCAAAACCTTTTACTCGCTCTGGCATATTTCAACTTCTTATCCTTAAATATTATTGAAAAGCATATTACGAACGTGATGATGATTACGTGACGTGATACCTTGCTGTTTTAATGAATTTTGTCTCATAGCATGTTGCATAATAACTCTACTTTCGTTTTCTGCCATATTCCCATTTTCAATTTCTAAATTTTAAAATGTTTAATACTTCAACGTTTGGAATTGCAAAATTGTGTTTCATTTGTTTCGACGTGACCGACTTCCGGACAAAAGTAATGAAAACTTCAGAAAAAAGTATCTCTCCGATCACTGATCTTATTATTCAACTACTGTTGGAGAATTGAATCGGATTTCACTTTCTCGTGTACGTAGTACAGTAAAAGGGACATTAAGGGGAGATTTATATTTTTTCGTCGTATACGAAAGTGATTTCTACTATTTAGTTGGCGAAAAAAAAGTTTTTGATTAAAAACGAAATACGCAGCACTTTCAATCTTACTCGTATAAGAGTATTCACGGATTTTTCTGACATTGAACGAAATATGTATTCGTCAAGAGGGAATTCGTCAAATCCGGAATCATTTAGTAATTTAATGCTAGTTGGAAAACGATAATGCAGTAATTGCCTACTGGAAGAGAACGCGAGTCTACCATATCAAGTGCTCATAAATAATGAATATTATTTTTTCTGATAATGTGTATATGTTAAATTATATCAATTTAATTTACAAATCAACTAGTAGACATTTAAGATGCTCTTTCGCTAAAACGATGTAAAACCGATATGATTGCATACATAAAAACATCACATAAAACCGAAACTGCATCAAGGCTGAAGACTTCGAAAGGTACAGTATTTATTACACTACCCGTGTAGTTTTGATGGCCAGACAGACATCAAGGTGACTGGCGTGCAATCAGCCTGACCAGGACAGCTGTCAACAGAAGAATCCAACAGGCGTACGGTGAGGCAGCGCGTGGCGAAGGCCAAGCCGCTGACTGTCGCGTGCGCCCGCGCCTTGCTCTGTCGCAGGCAACCGTCGCACGGCGTCGGTGCGCTCCGTGGGGTACAGCGACCTGTTCGTGCTCTCCAAGAAGGACATGTGGGACGTGCTGAAGGAGTACCCGGCGGCGCGCGTGCGCCTCGAAGCCATCGCCGTCAAGCGCCTCGAAAAGTACAAGCGCGCGCCGCTAGAGCGAGGTGAGTCGCAGATGCAGAGAGCGGCGTTTCCCTTTCCAAACTGCGCCATTTTAAGTTCAGTTGTCAGAGGAGATCAAATGGGCGACATTCATAGGCGTGCGTAGAGGGGGCAGGCAGGTTGTAACCACACGGAAAATTGTGAAATGGGCCTCATTTTCTTACGTAATGAACATGTTATTTCCGTAAATATATTCATTGCAATCGGTTGAATGTTCTGCGACTGCTTCAAGAAAAAACAGTAGAAAACTACCGTCTCGCGGGGATACATGTACATCAAAAAGCCAATTTCTGATTGACGGGAAAATTAAACATTTTCAATCTTTCTTTAAAATCAACAGGTTATCAACTTTTATTCGCACAACCCTCAGTTCTTTCTTGTCATTTTCAATAGAACGCCACTTGAAGAAATTTCTTCAGAGTCGCACAGTGAAAAAGTAGCATTTCATGACCGATCTGACTTTGTATTGTTATTTTTAATCATTTCCAAAATGTAAAAATAAGATTCAAAACTTTCAAAAGGTTTTACAACTAGTAAGGACTAGCTTTTCGGTTTTCTCTCACCCTCTTCCCATTTGTCATCTATCGCCGGCCAAACAACATATTATCACATTTTCTCAATTTTTCGATGTTTAATAATTGGTTTAATAAGTTTAATTATAATAATTGGTGTATGAATTTCGGTGTTTATATAAATTCGAAATAATGTTTTAGTTCTACCATTAGCTAGAATTAAAATATTATTTTAAGAATATTATAAAAGAGAAATATCTTGTGGCAATTTTCGTTTAAAAATTGAGAACAGGTTTTGAGAAAATGTTAATATATTTCTGTAAATCCGAAATTCCAAGCTATTTTTCACAAAACTTTTATGTTTGGGGGAAACTTCATCGTAAATCGTTTAAAGCACTTCAGCTCAGAAATGCAATAATGTATACAAATCACTGGTTGTATAAATTTTAATAGCATGACAGATATTTCTCTAAAATTGTATTTGTGTAATTTTTAAAAAAACAAAAGTTACAAATCAAAATGTTATTGATGTCTAGTTATCATGTTAGCATTATCCGTTTAAAAAATTGAAGAAAACATTTAGAGCCATTTCTGAAAATATTGATTTTTGAGCTCATTTTCACAGAAAGTTTTGAGTTTTCAACAATCTTTGTAAAACATCATTAAAAACACATGTACTCGTAAATAAAATAATATGTAAGAATCAAATACGCAAATGCTAAGGACGAGAGAGATGTCAAAAATTATCCATTTTTGTACTTTTTGAAAAAAGCAAAATAATAAAGCAAAACGAGGTTTGTGTTACCTGTTACAGTTCTGAGATAGTTTTGAAACAGTGACCATGTCATTGTGGGAGCTTTGTGTGTCTGAATTATTATGTATTTCATATTTACATATTTATTTATTTCAATTAGTCGTTGGTGTCAAAATGCCTCAAGTTTGTTTCAATGCGTGTTCATAAATACCAATCACTCAATCCTGGACAAAAAATGTGAAACATGACCCATTATGTAATCCTAAGAATGTGTATTTACCTCCGTTGCATATAAAATTAGGATTAATGATGAATTTCGTCAAAGCCATGGACAATACTTCTGGTATCATGTACTTAAAACAGAAGTTTCCTAGTGATGAAATATTTGTGGGTCCACAAATAGATCAATAATGCACGGTGAAAAGTTTGAGGAACTGTTCTACCCACTGAAAATGCAGCTTGGTAATCATTCAAAAATGTTAGTTTTGGGGGAAATTGAAAGCCGGAAAATTACAGAGATATTGTCAACGCCGTTATAACATCTTATAAAAATTAGGGTTGTATCATATTCTTCAATGTACACTTCTTTCATAGAACCTAGATTTCTTCCCAAAAATCTTGATGCAGTGAGTGATGAGCACGGGAAACACTTTCATTAGAAAATAGCTATTGAAAACAGATAATAAAGCAAAACTAGTCCTACTATGCAGGCCAGTTATTGTTGGACCATTAAAAGGGGTGCTCCAAAGGCGAAGTATAGCAGAAAATCGTCATTTCTTGCTTTCTTGGAAAGTCAGAATGTTTGAATATTGAGTAGTTAAGAATGAAGAAAGTATTAAAATGTTTGAAATTAAAAATGCCTGTCTTTCGAAAACCTTGCGTAATGGAGAAAACCGATATCATATGTAAATGTAGGTAAAAAATACTATCACAATTACATATTTTTCTCTCCGAAACAAAAAGTTTATTTTTTGTTCCCTGGTGTTATTATTAACGACGTAATACAAACTTAAACGTTTATAACTTTTAATATTTTTGAAACATCAGTACACATTCTGTTTTCATTCCCTCTTCTTCTTTCCACCGTTCTTTCTCCTCGTTTTAACCCATGATTCTTTCAATATATTGACTTCTTTCTAAATCGCAGAGCTGTGTCTTGACGCCAAGAAATCCATATGTTAAAAAGGGGAAAATACAAAAAATGATAACCTATTTACCTGCAAACGGGAACTCAAGCATTTAGTAAAGTTGATTATTGAGTGAAAAAGCGGTCAGACATCTGTCAAACGCCTACCACACTAATGGAAAAAGGTCATCCAATACACATTTTTGTCACTATTTTAAGGGTACATTGTTTGCTCAATATATTCGGTGCCCCCGATAAACATACTATTTACTCGAGTAAGTAACTTTTGACTACTTTGTTTGCAAGACATTATTTTCTCTTACATAAAGAAGAATGAGTTATTGCGTGTTGTTTTTTCATGCAAATCGTCAGTGTTATTCCGATTTAATGAAACTGAAACTTGAAGAGATCTTAAAAGGAAGAAACAAGTTACAGTGTTAAGGAGATTTCATAAAATTACATCGCATCTCTTTCCTACCCATTCAAATGAAATTGAATGGTGCTCCTTTCAGTTTTTTGCGAGCATTTGGAAAACGATAAGGAATTTCCGCAAGTGAATTAAACATTTAAGTGCAAGTGAATTAAAAATTTCTCAGTATCTGCAATACTCCGTGTTACCCGGAAATTTATTTTGCGCATTCGTCTAATAGACCGAACATTTTGTTGCCAAATATTGGCCAGTTAAGTCCTGTTTTAAGGAGTAGAATAGGCGATAAGGATATTTTTTGCGAAATCTCATCAAGGCAGTAACTTGTTTTAAAGGTCACGAGTTCAAAATATAATTAAAGTGAGAACTAAACTGACGTTTTTATAACATTTTAATAATGTTTTGTACATGTGACCTTTGAATGAAAATAATTCTTGTCTTATTTTTAATACAAACTCAAATAATAATTTGAAAATAAAGTAGCCTAAGTTTACTCCGACAATATAATCCACCTTTCAATGAAAACGCCATCGAAATCACGAAGGCCATACCAGAGATTTTCCCAATCAAGCGGACAGATAGACGCTAATAATTGCAAACCCAATTGAATTGATTGAGCGCGGGCAGAGCGGGCGGGCGGGCGGGCCGGAGGCTTGAGGGGGCGAGCCGGGCGGGGCGGAGCGGGCGGGGCGGGGCGGGACGGGCGGGGGGGGGGGCGGGACGGGGAGGGGCGGAGCGGGCGGTTAAACATATACACGTTTGAGGCAGATCTAGCATGTCAAGATTTGTGGAAGGTATTTGGAAATAACTTCTAAAAAATCGACAATGTGTTGTATTGTGACTCAATATTTAGGTATTCATATTTTTGTTCCCTACTGAAATGATAATTGCTCAGCGGTAATGACTAATGACAATTTCTAAATAATTCATTCCTTTATATTTATTTAATCAATAGTATTAATTAAATTGTACTCCTTTTTTGCATACCGTTGAGATTTTTCTTGTTTGATACAATCTAACTTCTAGAGATATATTCCATCGATAAGAATAAAACTACATTTTTATCCTAATGTAGACCTACATATGTAAAATACTGTTTCAGTACGGAAATTTGGAATTCTTCTTGTCCTGTTAATTACTTGACTTACTTAAAGACATTGTGTTTGAAATTTATATTAGACCCAATCACTGTTTATAAAATATATCTTAATATAATATATATTTATAATAAATATAAGTTAATATCGTAAAACCTCCTTTTAATTAACAAAATTATTTGTTCATTGACAATGTCTTTCTACTCATTATTAAAATTGCATCCTCTGTACAAGTCTGACATACGATACTTCGGGTTCATTCCATTTGGTCTTTTAACGAATATCTTTAAATTGTTTTTTTCTTTGGTAAAAAATACTTGCTTTCTACAAAATAATTTTCAAATTATTTCTCGGTGAGAATAAACATATGGTATTCTGAGGAATATTGCAAATTCTAACAAAATTGAAAGTTACAAATAGTCCAGTTTATATTTCTCACATATAAGTTGAAATTACCACGTATTCAGGGGGCGCACGTTATGACGATTTTTCAGAAGCGCAGTTTACGATTCATTTTCTGTCGATTCTTCAAATAAGGTGTACACAGTCCGCTATTGCAGTAAACTGTTACGACCTAAAAACTTTATGTCAATGAGCATTAATCTTCCGAACCGGTTAACTAGTCCTGAAGCTACGGCGTGCAAATTTTATGTTGCCAAATCAAATTATTTTTCATGTATTGTAATTTTAATAAAAAATTTCGACAAGTAATAAAAATTTAGTGACATATTACATGGGTAAAATCGAGAAGTAAGAACACTGCAACTTTGCTTGGTTTCGTTTACTTTTAGATTCGAGGTTCGGCATCACATACGAATTACAATAAAATACGTGGTATGTCTTCCATTTTGTCGATTAAAAGCTGTAATACTAGATAGTTCTGTTGTGAGTAACCGTTGTAGGCGGTATAGCATGAAATGTTCGGTTGTATTGCTATTATTGGATGTTTGTACATGTGCATTTCGTGAAAACAAGTCCTTTACCACTAAAAGCAAAGGTTTTGGAGGGGGGCGGGCGCAGAACTAGCGGTCGTGAGGGGCGCGCGTCCGCTGAGCTGGGCGGTCTTGCGCCTGTTGTAGAGACGTTCTGGGGCAGTGGCGGGGCGCGTGGTTGGAGGGGCCTGGGCGCAGCCTGTGCGGCGGCAGCGGCGGTGCGGGCGGCGGCGGCCGGCGGAGGCGAGGCGGCTTCGGCGCCGGCGCCGCGTCCACCCCGCTCGCGCACGCCCGGCGCCTGCCGTGCGCGCCCGCCCCGCCCCGCTCCTGCGCCGCGCTCCGGCGCCCGCCTCGCGGGTGAGTGCGGGCCGCCGGCGAGGCCTCGCGCGCGCCCTCCCCTCCCTCCCTCTTCCTCCCCGCGGATGCGATAGCTCGTGGCCTCTGCAGCGTCCGTCAATAGGTGATGCCTTTTTACGTGGCGTAACTCGGGCCATAAGGCCTTCTCTTCCGCCTGACCACGCAAATTTCACTTCGCTCCTTTCGCCGTTTAGCAGAGGAAGAAAGTATAACACGGCAGTAGAAACAGGCGATTTGAATTAAGCTCAGAGGTCTCTTTTAGACATGGGGTTAGGGGGATCTCTTTTAGACAGGCAGAAAATCTACGACATGGGACAGCCGACATTATTTCCCTCCTGAAGGAAGGGATACGAAGGATTCTTCCCTCTTGAAGGGATCGAGTTCCGACAGATATTTGACACTTGGTACGTAGCTGGGTCGAATTCTGACAGTCTGAAGGAGAAAATTAGCCGCGAATGTTGAAGAGGTACCTTAAATGGACCACGTCCCGTGCGAGATCTTTTCTTTTTATTCTCGTTCCTTACGCTTCCCCTAAATACACTCACATACGCACGCGCGCGCGCATTCACTTACGTTTACACGCACTACATTATCACACATATTGGGAGATGAGTGGAGAACTGCTGTCCTAGAAGGGACAGTGCCTCGCTAGAGGCGATCCCTCGAGTGAAATTCCGTAAGTCAGCGTGCAGGTCAGTGTATCTCTCGTTCGAGTTGGGTGGGGGAATGTCTGCACCACCCGGGACACAATTTGCGAGACTAATGAGTCAGTAGTCTTTGCGACCAGAATGAATACTTATTCATAACCCACTCCAAGCTGCGGAGCCTACAATATATTTGACGTGCCATCTTACAACTCAGAGAAAGAAGATAGAAACAGAGCTAAATGTTTCGGTACTTCACAACGCCTCTTTACGAGAGCGCTCTGTTTCATACAATCGTAGACGATTAGTGTATCTTCCTTGAGCTTCACTTCCCTCAAACGTTTTTTGGCGGCATCAGGGTGTGGTAAGAGACACACCACCAATCTGTGAATGAGTCGTTTAGTAGAATTAAAACAACTACATACGTGTATATTGTTTAGTTGCACAATCGAAATACTGCAAGATTTAAATACATTAGTCAATAGAGCTCTTGGTTACTGTTTGGGTGAGAGATTGATAATTTAGAAATATGAAGGAATGTCTTTGTCCATGCAGATCAATGGCTGAATTCAGTGGCGGCTGAAACTCAAAAGACTGGAGGTCTCCATCGAATGTCGGAAATGTAATTTCCAAAATTCAAAATACGAATATATAATAAAAATGTAAGTGATTGAAATTAATTAAAAATAAGTGAAATAAAAGTCTATATTGAATCATTACTTACATAATTTTATGCGTCATTTCCGTGACAGGTGTATTATACACCTTCCGCGCTCTGGCTTTAATTTCCATTGGGCACTTAAGTCGACTCCAGCACATTGGAACAACCAGTATTATTATTTTGTTTTGAAAATTTTACCCTGGTATATTTTGTAACAAAGACCCTTCCACAACTTCCGCTTGTATTCTCACCAGAGCTCTCCGTCTGTAACTGCAGGCTGCTGCAGGGGGAAGTATGCATCCACCGTTATAGACAGAAAGGCTATCTTTCAGAATGGCCTGATGATACTTTACACAAATAATTCATCAAGTGTACATTTTTAATCAATAAATCTAATATAAAATGAAAACAAATTATCAAAATATCATAAATAATGCATTACATGCTGCCAATAATTGACTGAACTTGTGTACTTTCAGTAACAAGTGAAATTCATATAATCACTATGCAGTGAGTCAGACGAAGTCAGAATATTATTCCCTTGCAACTCTCTCTGTCACCGCGCAGCGCAAGATAGCGTCACCCGTCTGGTTGCATCACCAAAAGGTCCTATGTTTCCCGTGATAAATCGAAGAGCCAAAGAGAAAATGCAGTAAAACCAGTAATAAAGCCAAGAGCGTGGTGCAACACCTGGCAAGGCATCAGATATCGGAGAGAGCGCCAGTTGGACGCTCTTTTGTTTCAAAGTAATTTCATATACATCGATATTGCTACAATATCTTGAATATCATTAAAAGTAAAATGTATATTCCTAAGATTTTATGAGATTTTTTCAATTATCTGGGTGCTGCGCAACCGAGCAACCTGAGCACGAGCCGCCACTGGTTGAATTTCATTTAATCAAAAATTAATTTAAACAATTCCGAACCTTTCATTTTTTCTCTTGTCATCCATAGATGTTACGTAATTACCTACAAACGTGCAGACGCGTTAGATCTATAAAACTTTTGTGTTCTGTCGACATTTTGTCAGTTGCGAGTGTTTTTTTCGTATTATAATTGAATTTGAATTGACAAGTATAGAAACAAACTTTTAGTTCGTACATACTGACGTTTTAGTATTTATTTCACTTTCCTTAGGAATAAAAATAAATAATTTATTATTACTTTAAAAACTAACCAATAATATACATGGTACTGCTGTCTATTGATTTGTCGAATTATAAGTGTCGAGATTTTTCTTACCTTAAGCAAGTGCATACCTGCGGAACAGAAGTACAAAGAGTAAAAAAATGTTACCATGTACAATTGAGACAAGATTTATGTTGGTTTGTATTGTAAGATGGACTTGGTGTACAGATGATGACGATAATAATAATAATAATAATAATAATAATAAATATCATTATTGTTATTATTATTATTATTATTATCATTATTATTGACTATTGTAGAATTAACGTCCATGATGTAGAATTAGGAAATACCATTCACAGGATTTGGTTGGAATGAGTAGAAAAATTAAACCACTAATTTGCCGACGTTTCGGAATATTTTTATTCCATTCCTCAGGGCAGATGTAAAAAGCACGAAAACAACATCAGTATACACTTACACAAATGTGTAAGATTAATTCGTGTAAGTGTTTATATTTACGTTATCATAAATATGCTTTTTACACCAGCCCTAAGGATGGAATAAAATTATTTCGAATGGCACATTAAATGTGCATATCGCACATTAAATGTTTATTCCGCACATTATATCTCTTCAATTCAGTGACCTTGTTACTGGATAACAAATACATATACGTATACTTGAACACTATGAATTGGGGAATTTGCTATCAAATTAGTTCATCTCCCTTGCCAAAATTCTATTTCTTTCATTTTTTAAATTTAAGGTAATTCTTCATAACCTCCGGAAGGGATATAGCTCGAGCACATCTTATTCTCAAACAAAATATGACGAGATCATATCCTGTTCATATCAAACTACATGTCAACTGGAGAATATGATAATAATAATAATAATAATAATAATAATAATAATAATAATAATAAAATCCTTGATCCTGACAAATTCATCCTGACGTGTGGCACATATATCCAAGAACTTGGGCAAAAGGATACCTATACATATTTAGGCCTGCACCAACTTTTGAGCTCAAGTGAAGCAAAGATAAGATGTAATATTAAAAGTAAAGTTGTGCAAAGTGTCTCAAAAACCTGTAAAACTCTTTTAAATGGAAAGACCCTCATATCAGCTATCAACACTTGGGCAGTACCTGTCGCTGTCTATACATTGGGTGTTCTTCGCTGAACAACAAATGCACTGCAATAGCGTAATCTAAAAGTTAGGACTCATCTTACCAAGTATCGTATGCACCATCCCAACAGTTCAGAGGGGAGAGACTATCCTTATATCAGAACGAAAGAGGAAACGGTCTTCTGAATTTTGAGTCCTTGTGTGCGAAGCAAATCAACAGTCTTCGCAAATACTTCCTCCAGAAAACGACGATCATGCATGAAGCAATTTGTGCCATGGACAAGAATTTTACCCCACTGAATCTGAATCAAACGGACTCTGAAATACCATGTATCACCAAAGAAAATAGGCTGAGTGAGTGGACCCAGAAGCGTTTGCACGAGATCGCAAAGGAAACACTGTGAATATGGGTTCGTCAGTCTCCTAGCTAACAAAATCTGGCGTCTTTGCTGAGACAAATTCCGTCATTTCTATAATAGACGAAGTAACCTCCACTCGCAATTAACAAAGGTGTGTGATTAAGCATATGAGTGTAGAGGGCCGCTGCTTTGCAATCAACCCGGCGAAACCCTCCAACACATCAAGGGTGAGTGCCCTCGCTGCAAAGTCGGAGATCATACAGAATGAGGACCCATACTACAAGTTCAATCCGGATTCAGTTTTGGAGTCGAAACGGTGGAAACTCTTGTGATGTAGCAGTCACCACTGATCGCAGGGTCGAAGCCAATAGATCTGACATAATATGGATTCATAAAGCCACGTGGAAAGGGATTATAGTCGACTTAGCTATCCCTTTAGAGAGAAATATAGTTGCCTCTAATCCGAAAAGAAGCGAAAATATCAGACCTTGGCTATTGAACTGAGCGACATATGGTGGTTAGTATCTGTTGAAGTAGTCCCTGTGGTAATCTCTGCAAATGGACTGAATTTCTCTGAAGAACTGATTTCACCGTCTGCAAGGGTTCACCTTAAGAACTGGCACATTCAATCAATGCAAAAGTCTGTTCTCCTGAGTTCTGCACGCATCGTTAGAACGTTTTTATTGATAAAACTTCACGTCGAATTCAAACCGCCCCAATTTGCAAGAGAAGCAGCCACCTTGGTTCTCCAAAGGTCCCGGTGTCTGCTGTAGTCACTTGCTAAGCCAGCGACTTGCAAGATAGTAATAATAATAATAATAATAATAATAATAATAATAATAATAATAATAATAATAATGTCATTATTTGAGATGAAGCACAGGCCATAAGATCTGTTCTTCCTCCAAACCAGTTGGTTTAATATACATTTATACAAGTTGAACATTTAAGACAGGGTGTACATTTTCTATCGGTAGTGCAAAACAAGGCACCATCCCAGTATACGCCATGCGATTGAGAAAACTAAAAAGACCCTCAATCAGGATGGTGGGATTTTTTACTCTCTTCGACAATTTCCGTAAAAGAAACGAGCTGGATAACTTCAAATTGAGCCTGTAGTAATTAAGCTACAATCGTTCGATCATTCAATTATGCCGAGTGGTTCCTTGGCGTACTACCGCTATAATGTCGAAACTACAGGTCTTTCAATACAAAACACTCCTGCGTTTGTAGTTGTAATCAGACATTTTACATATAAATTTGAAAAAAACCTATTCTTCGAGATCGCGAATAGAAGGAATCGTATTAGAAGAAATAAAGTGGTGAATAGATCTCAGAAACATCAAAACATCTTTTGTCATATTTGGTTGGGGTCAAACCAATACAAACTTCATTGCCTGTCAATATGCGAGACATGTTCATTACGTACATGAAATGTGTAAATTTATATACCTGTTCATTTCCCAAATGCAAGACTTACTCCAGAAATTTAATGTTTTTATCTTAAATGACTGTTAAATCTGTGTACATTCCAACAACGAATTTTCCGAATAACTATACCTTTACAATCTTTTCTGGAACCCTTTCCTTTATGAAGTTTGCGATGAGCTGTGAGCTAGACGATGGAGATGGTGTTCACTTCCCCCCTCTCTCTCGCTTTCTCTCTCCCTGCCTCTGCCTCTCTCTCTCTCTCTCTCTCTCTCTCTCTCTCTCTTTCTCTCTGCTCTGTCGTTAGTCAGAAGTGGCTTTGTTGCGACACGTACCCACTTAAAAATTCACCTTCCTTTTCGCTCAAGAGCACCGCTTACATAATGCATTTCATGAAAAGTTGATATCAGACCATATATCCCCAGGACGCCGAAATCCAATTTTCCGGGGAGACCTGGTAGAGTGAAGCTGATGTAAAGAATAAAATAGTAATGAAGATGATGTAGTAGAAGCAAGGTATGCAATTTAGTCCACCAAAAAAATTAAAGAAAGCTTCCTCATTTCTCTTTAAAATCTGCACAGAAAACATAATATGAAATCTGATTCTCGTATTTGGAAAGTAAATATTCTAGAATCTATTTGACTTCTCTTACAAGAATGAAGAAATGGCATGAATGCATACGAATGCAATATTCGAATGCGTTACGAAAGGTCTTACGTTACGAATACTTTACGAAACTCCCCCAGTTAATTTATTTGATCCTACAATTTTAATATCCAATATAATTAGTTTTTGCTGTGGTTTTAAAACCCAAGTACGTATAATATGCATGAGAAAAATAATGAAAATTTATGTTTATACTTAAAAATAATCTAATAATTTAAAATTGGATCTGTTTTAAGAAACTGTTGTTTATTACATTCGGGGGCATTACTTTTTTCGTTATTGACGATAAAAAAATTTCATCTAATTAAGAAAGATGATAAATCCCAACTGGATGAAGCTCCCACCCTTTCTTTCATTATTTTTCATGTGACTCCTTTTTGAGATTTAATGAAAGCTTTATATGACTAAATCCACAACAGAATTCGACAGTTATGTCATCATTTGTATTTAGTTACTTTGGGGAACGTGTTTAGAAGTGGGCAATAAATAAAATGCAATGACCGTAAAATGTGTTGTTTTCTCAAAATTCCTCTTTTATTGCGTACCTGAAAAATTATGTTATAAATTAAACCTAACCAACTAGTTGCCGTAAGTTATTCAAATTTTATAATATTTTAATGTACGTACGTTTGACGTAAAGTCCCCGAAAACGTCGTCACTTATGTTACGTCCTCATTACCTTCAATGAATGAATGTGTACACATAGAAAAACAACAATGAATGAAATGACTCTGTTTTTGTATTAACTTGATTATCCATTTTTGTGTTTAGTTGGAACGTTTCTTTACACGGTGGGAGATGTTCAAATATCACTTGCAGCGATGCCTCCTTTAAAACAGAATGAAGTACACTTAAAAGGTTTTATCCCATTTTCTGTTTCGCTTTTATGTATTTCCATGAAGAACTTCAATTTTCCTTGTGCAGATTTATCGTTGTTTTTATGTCCTCCGCTTTAAATGAATGTAGTTGAAAATTGAACGCTTTTATTACTCGGAATAAACAGCTCCATCTCGCAAGGCTTTCAGAATCTCTCTATATTTTCCATATATTAAGCATGTAGAAGTAACATGTTTTACACATCGTATTTAAAATTGTGTTTATTAATAGTGTGTCAAATGCCAGTTATTTCGATGTCTATTACAAATTAAACAGTTTCATTATGATGTGAAGTAAAACGTTTTATTTCACTACTGAAAATTTTATTTCACAGCTCGCACTTTTCACGGTTGAAAATATTTCTCATTATATACGTTACTTTAACAACAAACCCATTAAAGTAATAAAAATTTTACTTTGAAAAATAATGACACGGGAAATTAGCTCCTGAAAATATACCTCTTTGAAAAATATTGCACTTACGCAAGCGTGCTTTTAATTGCAGTGTGCAATTACGTGTTTTTATGTTCCAGTATACGTACGTGTATACGAAGTAATATACGTAGTACACGGAAAGTTATGTAATGCTGCGGTAAGTTGATTTCAATATTTCAACGGAAATACACGTTTTGAAGTCCCCTGATCAAAAATGTGTTGTTTTTGTTTTCAAAACGTCCGTCCGTCTGTGCGTCTGTGTACACCAATAGCACCTAAACCATTCGTACGATTTTTTTCCAAAACGGATATTTCTCGGTCAATCTGACTCAACTTGAGGCGCTGCGATTTTGAAAAACTTTGATCAAAATTTGGGGGTACTTTATCATGAAGCCTCACCGACGTTTCCAACATTTTCTCAAAAACGGCTCCAATTGTTTTTCTTTAAATTTCTTGTAAAAATAGAGTAAAATGCTTTTATAAACGTGGCATAGGTTCGGCTTTCAAGATTAATTTTCAATTTTTGGAAATTTTGACATTTCGAATATTTTGGGGCGTCTTCCTACAACTACAAAAATGAAGATAGAGGTTTTTCCTACAAGTAAAATTTGTTCTCCATAGTGGGTTCTTTCTTTAACGGTCAGTGACCCACTTTGAGAAGGTTTCTTTGAGTTTAAATATCTTGAATTCAAGAAAATGGCATTTTTATTCACTTTGCAAAACAATTATATATATATATATATATATATATATATAATATATATATATATTATAACAGGCAAATGTAGACTTTTTCATGGAGGAAATGTTTATGCAAAATATTATTTTTAAACTTGGTGAATAATTGCTTTCAATGTTGGTAAAATTAAAATGTCTCTGAGAGACACTTATATGTGTTAAGTAAAAACATACATTTCATTGCTAATATCAACTTCTTCCTATTTTTGGGACATCGGCCGGATATACTTAGCTTACCCGCAATACACCGTGCTTGTATTCAAGGAAAATAACTTTTTTAGATTGTAAATAAATGCATAATGCTGAGCGATTTTGTACCGTAGATAATAGTTTAGTGATTAATTCCGCTTAATGTCATTTTCACATATTATTTGTTATTTTATTCATATAGTATACATAATGAAACATTGTTAACAATCATTACTGATCAAAAATATCGGTGATCTTTCAAGCACAAACAGAACTATGTTTTATGGATAGGGATTCACCATTGATGAAATTGTCGTTTATTTAGAAAATGAAGTTGGTAAAAATGAATGTTTTGAAGAAAATTATTCTAGCATGTCCATTATTGCTCCTCACCAACAGATTGATGAAGAAGATACTCCAAATATTATTTACAAAGCCGAGAAATACAAGATATAAGAGGACATTTTAACTGTCAATGGATATTGATAGAACATAGCACTCTACAGACAAACCAGAATATACTTTTAGATCAAAAGCGAGTAGTCCAGCCCCCTCATGGAAGTAAAATATTCAACGAACACAGAAACAAATACCCCATCTTGTCAAATGTATTCCTGCTTGTTTCATGTAACAAAAATACGATTTTCGCAATAATGGATCTAATTTTTTTCTTTAAACATTTGGTAGGGATAGTGCTACATGTACTCTATGAGATGACATAAACATCCGTTTGATTTATTCTTTCGCTTTCTTTCCAAACGTTATGAAGATGTAATTTTTTGACTTATGTCTCACGTCGTTAATATTTATACTAACGGCGATTTGTCCACGGACTGTTCGCAATCCTTCCTTCCTCGCCTTCCTTGTCTCTCCTTCCGTCCTTGGAACAGTGATGGAGTGATCCCTCTTGGTGATTTTGTCCACCCGCATGGTCTTCAATGCTACCGACAGCACTGCGAATGTCTGTGTGTCGGGTTAAAGCTGTGTGTAGTAGCGCCATCAGATGTACAGATCGACATAAATAAAATTGTAGTGGGTGGCAGTGATTTCAAATAACTGCCTTTTTATAAGATTTAAACTATATTTAAAAGATATAAAATCCAATTCAATTTTTTTACGATTTTTGTTTTATGTTTGTCTTTTTCGGTTTTCACTGAAAGGTTGAGCGTTTTGTCGGGCATAGCGTAGACCTATTTTTACTTTCTCGCACTTACTTTTTAAGAAGAGGTATTTAAGTTTAAGTTTATTAAGAAGTTACTTTAATGTAAATGTTAGCCGGAAAACAGCGAATTTTTGGCAGAAAAACAATTGTTGCCGAACCTTGATAGAGAAAAAGTGAATAAATCCTATTGCTATATGTTGTAAATTACTTCCTCTTAACACGTGGTGTAGCTAGAATCCATGATTTATGAGTTCTTGATACCGAAAAATGCGCGAAATAGAGGCAATTAATTTGTTTATACAATGCTTTCCTCAGAAACCGCTCCAAATGTTTTCTTTAAATTTTCACCTCATATGTAATAAGGGACAGTAAAATGTGTGGTGCTAGTCCCATTTTCGGCAATCTTCTGACTTTCGAAAATTTTAAGAAGGTAACATTTTTAAACTACAAAATTGAAGATAGTTTTGCCTGAGACATGTCTGTCGTGAAAAATAATCTCTTTAAAACGAGTCATGTACAAATTTTTGAAGAAAAATGAGTAGATTTATCGCAATTTGTGTTTGAAATTTATGCAATTTCTAAAAAAAATATTTTCTCATAAACCGCACCGAATGTTTTCATTACTTTTTTCTCGGTAACGGTATGGAAGGTAAAAAATATGGTACTAGATCCATTTCCCGAACTCTCCGTATTATCGAAAATTGCAAAAATGGTGTGTTGGAAATATCGAGTTTAGATAATTATATTCTTGAGCTTCGATCCGAATTCGAACCTTGCGGCGCTTCTGCAGCGTAGCGCAGATGGAATATTAACTCGAAGGACTTGAGTTAGAGTCTCAGTGCGGAAAATAACATAGATAATACTTTTGCAGGTTTATGTAGAAGAATAATACATAGGATCACATAGAAATAATGCAAGAAAGTATATGCTGTTGTAACATTAAGTTTCAAATTGTTTCAAATTTTAATTTTGTCTTATGTAAAAATAAGTATATAAATCTAATGTTTTATTCTGATCTCATTTGTACATGAGACTTTAAAGGGCTAGCCAGTACATGGCGGGGATACACTGTAGATTCATTAAGTTGTTTTACTCTGTGGTTATTCTCGATTGTGATTAATTAATACTCTGACAAGAGGTATTTCAGCTAGAATCGCATATCATTATTATCTACTTGACTGTCCAGGAGGCACCGCGTCCTGCGCACAAATACCAACACATCGGCTGTCGTGCTGCAACCTTTCTCAGGGCGTTCGTGGGAAGTAAGCAAGTTATGAAAGGAACTCCCCTCGGCGTTTGAATCCGGTTTGGGGAAAATGAGGAGGAATGGGAGAATTATATCGCGCATGGACCGAATCTAGTTTCGAATGGATAGCTTCTCCCTCATTTTCTTATAAGTTATCAGTGAAGCCAAAGAAACCAATCAAATCAGTTGACCTACTAACTCGATAGTGGCTGCTGGATTATTGTCGTGTTGATGTGGGATTTGATGACGCGAATCATGTTGATGTTGAACATATCAAGCAAGTTTTTGATACTGACGTCATTACCCTCGATAATTGATCTTGGCCTTTACCTCTTAGCTATTAGAGCTTCTATAATATTTTTTTTCATAATTTCACTACGCTTACTAATGGCCGTTAAAACATGAATCGACCATAGACGGTTCAGAATGATCGAAAACATGAATAAGATGTAGAAAAACATGCTCTATTAGCACTCACAAACTTATCCGAAGCAGAGATACTTCTCATTTCTAATACCTTTTGGATGTACAAAAGGCGGTATTACCAAAAGTATTGAACGTCACATGAGCGATAACACAAATAACCGATTCCTTTAGATTCCGTACGCTTCGGCTCTAGTTTCGATTTGCATTCCCTGACCGCTTCCTTTATTCGCATTGTAATGGTCTAAGGACATCAAAAACAATTTCGTAATATTGTACTGTCATACCGACGTAAAGCAGCTGAACCGAGAAATGAAAGTTCACTCTTAATGAATGGTGCTCGTTTAGTATTATAACAGCCGCCTTTTTAAAGAACAGAGGGGAAAATGGGTTATAGCAAAAGTTGATGTCCGAGTGCCCCTCTTCATAGCGAATGTATCTGTTATTTAAATTAATATCTTTCTAAAAGTTGGAATTACAAAGATATTTTTTTTCATAAACGGCCGATAAGACAAATAACATTTTCGATTCAAAAAACCTTCGTTTTTTCCTTACAATTCAATCGTGTTCATAACACTGTACTGTAATATCGACAAAAAAAACGACACAGGGAAACGAACATCCACACCTAACGGCTGGATTTGAATATGGAGATTGCGTTTGAGTATTGCCATTCAAACAAAATGTATTTCTTATTTTTATGGCATCATTTTCTAATAAGAAGGTACGTAACAAGGCCGATGTCTCAAATAACGTATCCGGTTGGTTAAAAACCTTGGCCACCGCCATATGTACAGTCGATTCCACCATACATACAAATGTAAACCGCCTCAGCGAGCCGTTTACAGCCCTAACGACATCAATTGCTCGTTTGCAAGCGCGGGCGCAAGCGCGTGAGCGAGCGGGTGAGTGAGCGCGTGAGCGAGCGCGTGAGCGAGTGCGCTAGCGAGTGCTTGGGCGAGCGCGTGAGCAAGCGCGTGAGCGAGCGCGTGAGCGAGCGCGTGAGCGAGTACGTGAGCGAGCACGTGAGCGAGCGTGTGAGCGAGCGCGTGAGCGAGTGCATGAGCGAGTGCGTGAGCGTGCGCGTGAGCGAGCGCGTGAGCGAGCGCTTGAGCGAGCGGCTCGGGGAGGGCGTGGGCGCGATGTTGCAGCGGCGATGTTTGGGCGCGCAGTCGACGCCCGGGCTGGTGGAGTCGCGCGGCCGCGTGCCGCTGGAGGACATAGTGGGTGCCGCCGGAGCTGCTGCCGCCGCTGGGGGCGTGGCGGGCGCGGGCGCGGGGCGGGCCGCCGCCCATACGCGCTGCGCCTCGCGCCGCCTCCCTCATCAGCCCCGCCGCGCCCCGGCCCCGCCAGGTGACTCACAGCTACGCTGTCAAACGACCACTTGCCATTTCATTTCAACAGTCACAAACGGATTCATATTACTCACAGATCTCATACCAATACCATTCCGGTACTGGGAGAACACATTTGAGAAGAACCAACGCTCGATTCAAAAAATAAATTGTGCATACACGATATATTACGCCACACACACACACACACAATATATATATCTATATATATAATATATATATATATATATATATAGATATATATATATTATATATGTACATTTTTTAGCAATATATTTCAATCAGTTTATGATGTATGTGATAATATATATTTTTCTTTATATTTTAAATATATCACGGATTGGTGATGTGATGTGATAGTAATTTGTTTTCATTTATCCTTTTCTATTACTGTTTTTTCATTTTCCATTCAATGGTGATAGCAGAATACATGCAGTCACCTGCTTTTATTGTTCTAGTTCACTTTCGTGTTAAGATATGCACTATATGGGATATTGAGGTGTCACACATTATTGTGACTGACATGGGCTGATGAAGTCACGCCATTTTACTAACAGGGCCATGGTAAGTCTTTCTACGTGACAACATTTTATTTCTCGAATCTGTGATTAACAAGAGAGGAAGCGACATAATAAGATGCAATATAACTTGTCCAGTGCATCTTTATTCACATAGTCAAAAAATTATTTATGGCCCAGGGGGAACATACACCCAAAATTATGGAGGTACCCTACTTGTTATTTAGAAAAATAGTCATTTTAGTATTGATTTCCCCATTGTATGGGACATAAATGACTGTCATTCAATTTGCTTGTTAAAAAAGTGTATTTCTGTATATTGAATATCTGTTAATGAATATCTCTTTGAAATTTTTAAATGATTTTCTTACATCTTCACTATTACGCGAACTAAGGTTGTTTCATTCAATTGTCCTATGTTTATCTTGAATTCTAAAAAGATGCCGAGTCCACAGTTCTATTATATGATATTGTGAAAATAAGGTTTTTTTGACTCCGCTTAATCCAGACATCACTTGTGCACTGTTGACTGTAGAAACAAAGGCTTGGGAGAGCAGCGCCATCCTCTGCAGGGAAGCATCATTTATATCGCCAGGCGTGTTCTTTCCAGCGAGCGCTCTTGACGCTGCGGTTGGCCCGCGGCTGTGTGCGCAGGGGCGTCGCGGTGGCGGTCCCGCTTCGGGCGCCGTCCAGCCGACTCGTCGGACGAGGAGCGGGCGCGGTGCAGCGCGCCCGGGCCGCCGCCGCCGCCCCGCCGCCGTGCCGCCGCCGCCGCGTCGACCGACCCCGCCCTCGCGCCTCGGTGAGCGCCCGCCCACCCCCCTCCCACTAGCATATTACCGCCTTCGTTTACAACGCTCTCCCGCGCGCTCCGATCCCCTCCCCGCCCACTCCTCCTCCTCCAGCTTGGCTCCCCCTCCCACCCGATCCACCACCAGCCCTCACCACCCACCCTTTAGCACTTCCCCTCAACCCCCTCGCGTCTCCCAGGCCCACCCCTGAACCCCCTCCCCGCCGTCCACTGCCTCGTCGTGTACATTCCATTCCCTTCCCTACCCACTCTTCCACCGGCCCCCTCGGTCACTCAGCCACGCTTTGCCCCGCCCTCCCCTCCACTTTTCACCGCCCGCTCCACTCCCTTACCCCCGTCCAACTCACTCCTCCACTTCACCTCTCGACCGCTCACCCCTCCAACTCCCGCTCGCTCCTCTCTCTCGTCCATAGACCCCCAGTTCTCCAAATCCTCTACTCCCTCCTCCACTCACCGCTCCATCTCCTCGTTGCTCAACCATTCCGTTCCCTTCCACCCTTCGCCTGCGAACCCGTCCTCTCCACTTCTCCATCGCCACCGCCCTCGTGTCTCTCCTCGCCTGGCTCTCAAAGCAGCGCTCTGCGGGACCCCACCCGCAACCCAGCTAAATAATTACGCTCTATCTCCCGCTCCGTGACAAAGCGAATTTTATACCTTCTTCGCTGTGTGTTTAGATTGTGTTATGGAAACGTTTCTTTAAAGAGCATTTGAGGCCATCGTTGCTCGCGTATCCTACGTTCTTATTTACACGTTCATCTAAATTGAAGAGTTTTGTAGAGTAGGTGTATAAATGTTACCAGCAGGGATATATAGAAATATTAAACCTGCATTCTACCTGGTGACGAACGCACATAATCAACATCAAAACCACCTAAAACCACGTTTAATAATAATAATAATAATAATAATAATAATAATAATAATAATAATAATAATAATAAATAATTCACACCTGTACTTATTTATTTATTTACGCCAAAGAGTAAAAAATATGTGTGTGACGTGCTATGGAGAGGAGTTAATTTGAAGTTACATTTATGTCCAGAAGCAAAACAACGGACCATCTCAGCATTTGCTCGAGGATCAGGGAAACTGGACAAAAACCTGATCGGGATGGAGGGTCATTGACCCAGAAGCTGAAGTACAATACTTGTCACAGGTTCTTTGCAATTATACAATCCAAATTATATAAAATACATTTAATGTCATTGTTAAAATTAATATTACTTACCTTTTCAATGCTCGTTATAGTTTCTAATTGTATAGAATACTGTAATAATTTTAAGAGAGTGACGATGCATGCCAATGCACACATTGTCTCAATAATCTCCATAATGCCGAGGAACGCGTTATACAAATAAATAAAACATTAACATCTTAACTTTAGAAGAGCGAACAAAAACTTCACAAGTAGAGCTTTAGACGTCAGATGTGGGCTTCTAGAAGTCTCATCGTAACATGGAAATCTAGATTTATTCAGCGGAATTTGTATAGTATATCCGCGGGAGGTGAAACGGAAGTTTTCACCGAGGCAAAGTCTCCACGCTCCTCCCCAAGCTTTCTTTTTCCACTCCGCTCCCTCTCTCCTCTGCTTCTGCATCCGGCGAAATTCATGTTAATCACATGCCCAACATTTCCATAACCTCGCTTGACCTGGCCGCACAGAGGCTCAAAACCAGCTGGTTACACTCACGGTCAGACAGTCTCTTTTTCGTTTTTTTCACCGATGTTCTCTTACTGTCTACCAGCAAAGTTTCACAAGTGTTAATGTTGACATTCGAGACACAAAAACAAGGGAAGATTATGACGTACAGTTCAGTTGTTTTCTCGCTTCGTGAACTCTGCTTATTTTACACACTCTATTTGGACAACTGAAATGTGTAATTGTAGTCAAAGGTAAACAATGTTATCTGATGGAAACATAACCAACCAGAAGAATACCATTTAGATGTTAAGAAGTTTTTTGAAATTGTCAATATGTAGTCATAAGTGAGAGAATCCAGCTTAAGATTCTTCAAGAGAATAACTGATTGAGGAATGAGCATACCCCGTTTTCATTTAGATGTAATGCCTTAGGACCCTGTAAAATGTACGATGGGCGGAGAATTTTGGATTAATGCAAAATATTGTCGTGGTTCTATGATTTTTGCATGTTTTCCTCATTTCCCAACCTTTTTGCATTGCATTTTCAAGGATCATCCCTTAAAGCAGTGTTTCCCAAATTGTAATCTACGGAGCATTGTTGCTCCGCAATGTGCGTGTGTACTTCAGATTGCTGTTTATGAAACGTAAAAAAGACGATAGGCTGCCACTTCACGTGTTAGTGTGGATCTTAAAGTACAAGAATAGGTGATTTTTTTGCACGATGCTTTTTCCGACACGCGTTTTCGAACTCATTTCCCACCGATTAAGCACTCAGATATTGCTTTGGCATTCTTAATAATCTTTAGCAGATTATATTATTCATCCACTTTGTTTAGGCAAAGTCAAACATTATGCAGTCATAATCAATTTCGTAATATACATCATTACCACACTTGGGCGGTAAAGTAATGGCGTACTTTGTCACTTTCCTTTCAAAATATTTTGGTGTACTTTGTCTTGTATCCTTCACTTTACCCCTTTAAAACGCTAATAACTGAGTAACCGTACTGATATCAATGTTTTTTTGGCTGTCCGGTATATAATACCGGACGCGCAGTACCGATGTCACTGTCCTGTGGAAGCCTGCGTCATGTGAGGCGAAACGTCGGTTTCTCAGTCAACGACGCGGCGCCTCGACCTAACGGCCTCGTTTGGCAATTTTCCAACCTCGTATTGTAATCAGATGATATAAATAGAATCGACAGATAACAGATCGTAAATAATCAATCCCGTTTTTTTCACTGTTTATTTTACATCGTATAAAAAAGAAGGAAAAAAGTAACTTTTATTTATTTTATTAGCCTTATATCTTTCCGCAGTTACGCACAATTATCCCATAAATGAAAGCTCTGATATAGTTTCACACTGAAAAGGATCGAACTTACAAAAAGGGCATATATTCCAACTTAGAGATAAAACTGTTTTCCAAAGATTTTGTAATAAATTTCATGTAGGTTCAGTACACAGGAAGGGAGTTATTGAAGGGAAATCAATTTTGTAACTTTCTATCTTGGATATTTCAAAACCCGTAAACCGCGCCAGTAATGTTTTAAATATTTAGCACATCTGTATTCGTAAATACGAAAGGAAGGTGTGAACAAGAAAATCAGCTGAGTGGACCTTTCTCGGCAAACTTGACTGAAACATTTATCAGATCTTGTGGAGCGTATCGAGTTGTTTCATTATTGTGTAGGTACAGAGAAGGACTGTTCAAGATGGAAACGTCAGGGTTTCAATATTTTTTTCCGTCTTGAACAAGTTTCCGTCTTATTCCGGTGTAGTCCTTCGCACACGTTTGCTGCTAGATATGATTCGTTGCAACCTGTATTTAAATGCATCACAAAAATTATTTTTATTAATACTTTAATGCTTTTAAATACGTCACAGGCAATGTTTTACACTATATTATTGTTTTTCCTAATAGAACTCCATACGTATGTCAGTTTCAATTTGCTTCGTGATGCGATGAATGGCATTCCTCTCCTATCATTCCTTCACTATGCAGAATTGTTCATAAAGTTCGGGGCAATTTTTATTTACAATAAATATTTGTAGATTTCTTATATTCTTCAGTGCATCAGAAAATTTGACGATTTTTGACGTGTCATCTGCTTTCTCCACTGCATCTGCTTCGTACTTCTCATTATCGTCGTTATATTCATTTTTTGCTGGTTGTCAAGAAACGTTCTGCTGTAGAAACAGCTTGCTGATACGCGGGTGCATTAATATCGCCGTTTTCTACTCTGTAGCATCTATAACAACCCTCCTTTTGAACATACATCGGATATAGCATGCATATTTGTTTCAGCTTCATCCAAATCCTCATTTTCTTCAGTATCAGGGACAAAATTCGCCTTCCTAACTTCTTTTTTACTTTCTGTACTGCCCAATGAATCCAGTTCACAGCATCTAACACCGAATTTTATTTTGCTATCTCAGAAGAGCTGCTTGCATCTTCAATTTTCGCAACTACTGCCTGTAGAACTAGTCTACGATAATGACTTTTGAAAGTATAGATCACTCCTTGATCCATGGGCTATGTGACGCTACTAGTGTTCGGTGATAGATTTATAAGTATTTATCGTCTTCGCAACATAGTTTACGCAGAAAAAAAGCAATAGGTATACTTTTAGTTAGCCTCTGACAATTCAACACGTCGGCTTGCTGAACAGCGAAAATAGTGTTACTTCAAAATAATGACATTTTTGTGTATAGGAATATGTGACATTTATAACTTGGTTGTTTGAGATTTCTCTTCGTGTTCGTTAGCAAAATCTCAACGACCCTGTATGTGTGCTAGAAGTTTGTTACATTTATTCTAAGACATTCTGTACTCCCAGACACGATAAAGTGTCTCATTATCAAAACAAATTGGGAAGCACTGACACGTAGCCATCCCCGTGTCTCCTCCTTCTCCTGCCCCTGCACCATCGTGCTAACGTGCGCTGGCCGCGGCAGAGCGCGTGGCGTGGCGTGGCGTGGCGTGACGTGGCGTGGCGTGGCGTGACGTGGCGTGGCGTGCGCAGGTCGGCGGCCGCCGGTGCCGGCGACGCGCGGGTACGGCGCGTG